TACTAGTTAGTAGGTTACATTGGGCTAAATCAGTTTATATAGCTTGTGGTAAAATGAGTGGTAGTCTCATTTTTTGGTTGTCTCTGTTGCATATATTGCTTGCACTACAAAAGGTTTGCATTCTGAGTCTGGAATGATCTAAAATCATTCTTTCCTTCAAGAAATTTGGGAATACCTATGGAAATCAGGCAAGTGTCGATCAACTGGTGTAGGGACTGGGGCTGAATCCAGGTTCTGTAACTATCGAGCTGTCAAAGCTATTGTGAAAAATCTAAGTTGCTCTTGCTCACTTTGAGTGCTGTGGCAGTGTTAATTCCTAAATCCTCACTTCTGAGACTATGCCTAGAGCATCTTCTATTCTCAAAATACATCAGGTATCTTTGCTTAATCTGCTGCTCAGCAGACAACTGGGGAGTAATTCTGGTCTCCATATTTGGTCTCCTAAGGCTTGTCTATGTGGCGCTGACTAAGTGTACCAGAGGATGTGATTTATAGAGTGCTCTAAAGTCCTGTGCTCTAACTGCCCCGTGTAGACTCTGCTGGCATGTTCTAAAAGGTACCTAGTTTGCACTAATGTAGTCCCACGTTCAACAGGACTGTAGCTTTCTTTGGGGAGGCCTACAGCTTAGGTGAACCAAGCTAGTCTGAGATTTTTGTTACTCCTCACTTAAATTGATGGGTGTTCTGTATTAGGTCGTCGGAAGGACAGTCCAAAGAAATTTGCATTGTTACTACCGCCACTCACATCATAATGCATGTAGCTAGACTAATGAGCTTGTTTCCAGCCTTCAACCTCCTATTATCGCTAAACAAAAACAATAGGACGTCGTACACTTATCTTTATTTGGTTGTTGCAGTCATTAATCATGAAGTGTTGACTTATTCTCACTAAGCATGAAAGTCGAGCCCAGATATCTTGATCTTGATTGATTTTAATTTATTTCCTTCCTCTTTCCACAGCAGAAGTTGCCCTTGCAAAATGAGCCAGTTTTCTCAGAAGAGATCTATGGAGCCCCCATTGTCTGAGTGCATGAATTCCAGAGTAGACTCTTTGGACAGCTTGTCAATGGACAATTTTTGGCTTGAGGTGGAGAACATCAAACAGAGCACTGAAACTGAGCAAGAGGAGTGCAACCTTGCAGATGTCAAAACCCCAGAGGGTAGGTCACTGGGTATATGGGTGGAGGGAGCAATGGAGAGGAAAATGTATGTTGTTGGCAAGGTCCAAATCTCACTGGGTAAATTTTTGAAAAGTACCTTTGTACTTGAGTCATTTTGAATGTGGGATGTAGGCTCCTAAGTCATTTAAGTACATAGGTACTTTTTGATAATTTTGCCTGGTGATTCCCCCCCAAATCAAAAAAAAATCACCCTATTAACATTTTTTGTGGGGAGAGGGGTAAAGGGTAGGGGCAACTATTTGGATGGGGAAAAGGGCAAAAAGATTTGTGGTGCGAAAGAATTGTGCAGCAGGGTCTCATTTAGAATTAAGGGACAAATTTTTAGCAGTGCGAGTGATTAACTATTGGAATAAACTACCAAGGGAAGTGGTGCCTTTAAGACAGGGGTCCTTTATGAAAGATAGATGGGAGCTCGAGGGTCAAATTAAAAGGTCTGACAGGTTGGACGTGGCCCGCGGGCCGTAGTTTGCCCACCCCTTGACTAGATCTAATAGTCCCTTCTGGGTTTGAAATCTACAAATTTTCCAATGACCTCACTTTCATTCTCTTTGAAACTAGTTTCTCCTTGCAGTCAGTGCAGCCCACTAGATGGCATTGTAGCACGAGCTCTTCAAAGCTTTGTGTAGCGAAAGAGTACTGAACGTTTTTTGCAGATCATGAAGTGCAAAGGAAGAGTTTGGATTCCAGACTGCAGTTTAAAGCACCGCTAAGGCAGTATACACTCCAGGGCATGTTGTTGGAGCTTAGCAAACCATAAATAATAACCATAACTGAAACAAACTGAGGACTATGCACAAATGAGGAGCTCCCCAAAATGCTGCCACAAATGAAAAAAATCCGGATTTTTTTTCCTGAGAGGAAGTGGTTTATCTCCTCTGGAAAAATTAATCATAGAACTCCCCCACAGACTGTCAGTGGGGCACTTGTATTTCATCATGCATGTAAGATGGCCAGGACCCTTCTGGTTACTTGGCTCTCCTGGTACTCCCAAAGGCCCTCATAAGTCCTTCTGTGGCACTGTGTGGGGAGGAAGATGGCAGCTTTCTCCAAGCCTCTGAAATTGTATTTTAATCACAACCTGTTCATCATGCTGCCTCCCCAGTCCTCATAGTTCAGGATCTTCAATGCTAGCAACTGCCCCAGCTGTCCAGTCACAAGCATGTAGATTTAAATGGGTATTTTTAGTAGCAGGTTTTTTTCCAGAGAGAATATGATCAAATAAGAGGTCAAGAACTTGTGCGTTGTAGAAAGCAGTGCTGGGATGGCACTAAACTGAAAGTTACAAAGATTGTGAGATTACTGAATCTCAGAAGTTCTTTGTCTTCTGCCCAGCTTGAAGCCGAGTGACTTTGCCATATGCCTAAGAAAGGGGTCTGTGCAAGGGAAAACCCTCTCCTCTTACCGTTTCTCTAAAACTTTGAAACCCATGTGTCAGAAATTTTCCCTTAGCTTTTGGGATTACAACATATATTAGTCCAATGCAGGATGGGCTAAATCTCTCTAGGTAATTCAGGGTAATGTTCCTTTTTGACTACTATTTTTGGCTAAATTACATCTCAAAAGGTGTGTTCATGATGGTCAGTGTTCTCTTTAAATTCCCAGATCCATGTGTCTTCCTCAGTTACATATTTCCCTTCTCTCCCTGGGAATGTTTTATGTCTAGCACCTACATAGCTTGGGTCAGCCTTGAAATTATTCTCCAAATTAAATCACTGAGGCCAGATTTTCATGAGTCTGTGTACTGGACAATTCCTCCCAATGGAGTTTTCCAGAGAAATAACCAGTCATACTTGCTTCCTTGTATGTCAGCAGTAAATGTAATTTAGCCCAAGGTTATTAAATGGAAATTATTTAGATGAATTATATCCAAGATACTTTGGATGCATCAGATAGGCCAATAGGTTTAACAGAAGACCATAAATCAGATACCCAATTAGCTGTGTCAGTTTTTCGTTTCCTGTTATGATTGGAATTGGAAACTTTCAGAGTTGCAAAAATTACACTATTTCTCCTCATCACCAAAATTTAATAAACGGAGGCCCTGTTGTGCATGCCTTGCTCCCACTGACTTCAGAGGTCAGGATTTTTGTCAGAATAAGGTGTCTAGTGCAAGGCTCTTTAATTAGATTAAGGCTCTAATCCTGCAAATACATGAGTTAACCTCAAACACCTGAGTTCCCATTGAATTCAGTGGCATGATTCGTGCACAGGTGTTTATAGGATTGGGGGCTTAATATAGAGCTTGCTGAATTTTTTTTTTGTCCGCTTTTTCCAGCAAAAATGGCTCTCTGACAAAATGGGAACTTTTCCGCCCCCCCCCCCCCAACTTCATTTCATTGAGATTTTTCCCGGGGGTGTGTGTGTTGGGGGGGATTCTTCCTGGCCAAGTTGAACCTCCGAATAGCAAATCTAGACGACAAAGCAAGTAATATTTGTTTCTGTTCTATTTTCACCAAGTTAAAAGATAAGGTTTACCATGGAAAATACCTTGCAACTGTGACTCCATAATGAGTTGTCTCCTCTTTCTTCATTATATTGATTCTTTTACTTCAATATACTTCTTTTTAAGGCTATGTGATGAGATGTTAGCTTTATCCAGTTGTTAGGTGAATTTAACTTCACAAGGCTGGGGTACTTCCTATAAAAACATTTAACAGACACATGGTATAATAGATTTGACAGTCATGGTTTGCTTGAGCAGCTGTCCCAGGAGAGGAAATATCAGTTTCTGTCAGAGGAAGAGCATGAACAAATATTCGGTCTTCAGTCAGTTCAATAGTGATTTTTCGGCCATGTTTGTAAATGGATAAGTACAGAATGTCTGTGAACCTCCCTGTAGTGAATAAATGCAGTATGCAGAGACAGGGCTGAGGAAGAGAGGAGGTTGTATGGCATACAATGTATTAAGGCTGAAGCTATACATGACTATGTTTATCCTCAGAGTTCAAACAGCTGCCTCATTCACACAGCACTGTCTGACCTGCACATAGAATGAATTATGCAGGAAAAATATGGCATGTCCTCCGACTTGATTCATTTGCAGAAGGGGAAAGAGTTAAGTTTTTGCAGATAACTTTACGGATCCTGACTTCTGAGAGCTTCACTTTGGACCCATAACATGCTTTGACTGTAGTAGTATTTTTTTTTTTAAAAGAATATAGTTGTAAACTAAATACAGAACTTAGTTCTACCTGCATATAGAAATACTGCAAGGATGTCTGGGCCCACTTAAAATGTAATGGCAACTAAACTGAGGTGGTAAAAGAATAATGTTACTGCACCAAGATAACTGCTCATAAGAAGTTAAATAAAAGGTGATTAAAATTGAATCCAGGTAGAGTCTGGATATATCCTGAGGTAAATCTAACTATGTATCTAGCTGTTAAAGGAACAATCTAAATAGTAAGAGCATAAAAGCCACCTAGGGAATATCAGGTGTGGTGTTTTTAACAGAGCTTTTCTCTTGATTGTTATAGGAAGCCGTCGGATCAGATTCACTCCTGGAGTGAACTGGTGCCGACCCCACTGCACTCACTGAGTTGTGTGCTGCCTTATGCCAGGGCAGAATTTTGCCCAGGAAGTTCCTTTGAGACCAGATTGTGGCTGGCAGCTGTGTAATGGGAGAGCACAAGTTTTTCCTCCCCCACCCTCATCCCCAGTGTTCAGCAATAATCGCAGTCTGTGCACTGTCAGAGTGTAAAGATTAGCCCTCAGTATTTAGCTGCCCCAAAGAGGACTTGGTGGTAGCAGAGCACTACCTTTTCTCCCCATGGCTCAATGGAGCTGTCCAGCTGCAGAGAGGAGTTTATGTTGCAGCTTTTGCAATGGGCATGTCCCTCCCTGCCCACCCCCAACGCTAATTGATAAGCCCAGTCTCTCCTGGTGCCCACTGGGGTGATGTGGCTTGGATCCATCCCCAACCCAGGGCTGTGGCTCAAAGCCCTCTAGTTTTCATAAAACGGTAGTTCAAGAGAAACAATCCTTGAGGGACCCAAATGAAGTGAGCCGTTGGGATTTTTGGCATGTCTGACTGTCTTTCTAGCCCTGCTTTGTCCCGACTGTATCTGTTAGTTCGTAGTGTTACCCTGCTTTCTCACAGACACTGCCTTTCTCCTCATCCCTTGCCTCTCAGAGGGAGAAGCCGAAGCTGAGTGGCTACAGGATGCAGGCCTCTCTGACCTAATTGGGGAGGACACCTCAGACAATGGCAATATAGTGCTGCTCTCCACCTTGACCAAGACCCAGGCTGCAGCCGTGCAGCGAAGGCTGGATACTTACTCGCGGTCACGGCGGAAGAAGAACAAACCGCCCGTGCGTGATGTCAGAGACATTTTTGGTGTGGTCAACTCTGAGGTATGTTGCTTTACTGACTTCCAGAATATTTCCTTTGGCTTTCTGGCTCTGTGGGGTTATATGACTGTGAACTAGCAGGATTTTACCTTTGAGCCTAAGCGGAAGTGTATCTTGCAGAGTTTACGCCTCAGGATTACAGTAAAACAATATTCTAGAACCTGAGGATTTAGAGACTTCACTCTAGTCAGTGTAGTGCTAGCGAAAGGTAGCAGAATGGCAGCTCTGTAAGTCTGAAGACCTCTCTGTAGCCACAGAACAGGAATGGTATGGGCAGCAGCAATACAAGTTTTCCAGCTACTCTTCTGCCAATATGCCTTAACACTTCTCGCGGTGAGGGGCTGTTTCAGTGTCCATAGCTTTCCTGCAGACTGCCAACAAGCATCTTCGTTAATGTCCTTTGTGGTGGGGATCTTTGTGATGTTCGATACTTGTCGACTATGTACTGGAGTAAGAGCTGCTTTCCACAGCTTGCAGCACCAGTGACTTCTTGTTGTTGTTAACTTTGTTGGCCAGATCTGAATTCATGACATGTTCCATGTATGACACACAAAAACATTAGTATTTTATTTGTATTCCAAAAGCACTTAGAGGCCGCAGCTAAGAACATTGCCCCAGTGTATGCATGTACACAGTCCTCCGAGAGCTCAGAGGCTAAGCCAGGGGTCAGCAACCTTTGGCACGTGGCTCGCCAGGGTAAGCACCCTGGTGGGCCGGACCAGTTTGTTTACCTGCCGCGTTGGCAGGTTCAGCTGATCGAGGCTCCCACTGGCTGTGGTTCGCCGTCCCAGGCCAATGGGGCCGGCAGGAAGCCGGGGCCAGCACATCCCTCGCCTGCGCCGCTTCCCGCTGCCCCTATTGGCCTGGGACGGCAAACCACGGCCAGTGGGAGCCGCGATTGGCCGAACCTGCCGACGTGCTTACCCTGGCGAGCCACGTGCCAGAAGTTGCCGACCCCTGGTCTAAGCTGACCACATGGACACAAAGGGTAGGAAAAAGAGGTATTAATTCACAATTTGCTATGGAGTTTGGGGCCAGTGCCTAGTCAGGAGCGAGAGAATGGATCATAATACAGGCCCCATTTAACATGTTCCTGAACTTAGTCCCATTAAAGTGGAACATTTGGATTAATTGCTCCTCTTCCAATTAATTTGCCTTCAGAGGCTTGATCGTATCAGTCTTATTAAAAAAGCATTAGGCAGGATAGCACAGTCCTTAAACCTACCTCATTACGAGCCCTGGAAAGTGGACTTGCTAGTGAATTCACCCAGGGAGCTTACCCAATAGAAGTTGCCCAATTCCTTCCTTTCCACCTGATGCCTTTTACAAATTTGGAATGCTCATTTATACAAGCCAAGCCTAGCCTGGTGTCATCCTTATAACTCAGACCTATGGCAGGAATGAGCTGTTCCTTCATGCTTCTCCAGATGACCTTTCTGATAGGTTTCAGTTGAACACCCTAATAGTATAAATGTTTGTTTAAATACATGCTGGGAAAATAAACTAGTGTCTCCATAATATAAGGCTGGAAACAAATGGCAGATGTTAGTTGTAGCTTTCTCACTGTTCTTAGGTTAAGATAATTCTAGCATGCTTAATTGCACAGAGATAGGGTTATGAATAATCCTGTATAAATGCAGACTGCTCTTGTTCATGCACAAGTGGGTAACAGCACACATGCAGTCATTTTGCAGGTGCAACTAGGCTGACCAGATAGCAAGTGTTGAAAAATTGGGACACTTTTTTTTGGGGTGGGTAGGTGGGAGGGTAAAGGTGCATATATAAGATAAAGCCCCTAGTATCAGGGTGCCTGGTTACCCTATGTGGAGCTACAGTAACTGTTTGTGCCCTGGGGTTCAATCTAGTTGCTTGTCTGAAAATTTAATGCTGAATGTTTTAGTTTTGACTTATCAGCAACAAATGTAATGTGATCCCATTGGCTCTTCTGAAATTATTCCGTTTTCCATTGCTCCTAAAGCATTTGCCGAGCTTATAAATATCAGTCTCCTGTGTGCATTTGATACCTTGCTAATATTTGCATTTGATAATCCATGCAACTGAGATCCAACTTCATGCTTTAAAATATTTGGTCTACTGTGTGCACATTCAAAGATACCAAGCCTGCTTATTTAAATAGCTTTTAACTTGATAAGAAAACAGAATGTTCCATCTCATTTCTAGCTGTAAGCCAGATTTCTAGACACCATTCTACAGGCTCTGGTTAGAGCCATTGGAATTATTCATGTTTTCTCTGTCTCAATATTGTTGGACTTCAAAGCTTTGCAGTCATGTGTTTACGATCCCCAATCATTAGCAGAATGTACTGGACAGGGTGAGCAAAGCTAAAAACTGCAAATAAATTTACTTTAAAGCTAGCTGTTTGAAAACTTGTTCCTCCTTTACTGACTTGCCAAGACCTGAATTCCATATTCCTGGGTTTTCTTTCCCTTTATTGCAAGAGAAGATGAAATCATAAACACTTAAAATAAAAAGGGCAATTAATCTGTTCTCTCTTCTGAGTTTTGTGATACCCTCCTCCATTGCAGGGGAAATACCAAATTCTTAATTCGGGTCATTAAAGAGCAATCAGTGTATTTATTTGTAATGTTTAATTCTTCCTATTTTAGTGCTCTGGGATCCTAAACAACTTGTATAATGTGTTGATTGGTACCCTTTTACAGACCCTGATACAGAGTCCCATTGATTTCAATTGGCTTTGGAGCAGGCCAGTTTTTTTTCACAGACCGCTTGAATGCTGGGCCAACTTCTGCCCTCCAATCCAAGTGTGGATTTTCTGCTGAAGATTATGGGAGCCCTGTACAAACAAATATACTTAGCATGTCTTACCTTCCTGGTACTTCCACAAACATGAGCAATCACAATATCCCTTTGTCTGGTGGTTGAATATTATCCCCACTTTACAGATGAGAAAACTGAGACACACAGAGGTAATGTGATTTTTCCGATATATTGAATATTATCCCCACTTTACAGATGAGAAAACTGAGGCACACAGGAAGTTCACTGCATCCTGAGTTTTGAACCCAGATCCCCTGAGTCCTAGTCCACTGCCTTAATCCCAAAACTATCTCGCTCAGAAAAAAGTCAGTGCAAGAGGCAGAGAGTAACCATTGAAAACCTGGCTCCTGGTCCTATGATCAGACCCTCGCCCATGTTCCTGTTTCTGATGCTGTTCTTACTGTGAATTCTAGGTGCCACATTTGATCTAAGGAAAGTATTATGCCCAATAAATATGACAACGGTGAGAGTTATCCTGTAGTTTTGCAGTCAATGGGAGTCCAGCTGTTGACTTCAATAGGGGCAGGTTCAGGGCCTATGAAGGAACCACTCGCACTCCAATGGATCAAAACCAGCAGGGACTCTTAATTTGCTTCACAATGACATTTCCTTATCTGAGTTCTCTTACCAGTGTGTGTGTGTGTGTGTGTGTGTGTGAGATTGCAGACTGCCTTGACCTCCTATTTACATCTCTGAAGCAGCATTTTTAGTCCTCAAAATGACTTGCATTTCTAGCATAGCTTTTCACACACGTGGATGCACCCACATTGTTCACAGAACAGGCATGCCAGGCTGGAAAGGACCGTGGTGCTCTGACGTCATGCCGTGTGCTTGTTAGGTACAGGACTATAGTTGCTAAGTCACTGGGCCAGCTATACACAAGGTTAATCAGTCGCATGTTTTGTTCAAGAAAAGAAGTAAAATCTTTCTCTGCACCTGGATGATTTTACTTATTTGCAATGGCTCAGCATAGGTTCTTTATTCTTTATTGCCATGTTAACTGGACACTAAGACCATTGCAATTGGAGCTAGTTAGAAAGTCTTAAAGTTTTTGAGGCAAAAAACTTGAATGAAAATATTCTTTTTCCTGTTTCACAGCCAGCTCTGTTGACCATGGGATTTTGTCAGCATGTCCTTCGGCGATATCTGGGATCACACTGATCTTTTAGACACATGTCACTTCAGGGACCTATATGATTTGTGGCAAAGAGATGTGTTGTAGAGCAGACAAAAGGGAAACATTGTGTTGCTTAGTCTGTTTAGTGCATTTTCATCCATGTGGCTAAATGGCATATAATTGAAGAAAGTGACTTCTCCTCAAAGGCCAGTATTCCATGGATGGATCATGCTGTGGGTGGATGTCACAGGAGCTGTTTGAATGAAAACTGACGGCTGATTGGTTCATTTTGACAGCCAGTTAGAACACTTAAACTACTGTATAAAATGGGGCCATTGAGACTTCTCTGCATATGTCCACTGACACCTGAAGCTGGGAAAGAGTAAGAATTGGTGATTTAACAATGGCGTGAGTGTATGGGTTATGGAGGGAGGGGCAGGGAGAGGAGTGCTAATTGCAGGTTTCTGCTACAGAAGAAAGTAAGCTATAGATACTATAAAACGAAGACCTGTACACTGAGGTTTGTGAAGTATTTTATTTCATAGCAGTTCTTTAAGTGATTGTCGTATCCATGGCAGACCTTGTAGATTTCAACTCAGCTAAATGGCATTGTTATAGCTCTTCAATGCTAGAGAGCAAGATTATTTGACATGTTACTTTCTGCCAAAACGAGGATGCCCCATGTTGGCCGCTGATCTGCTCTGCATGTGGCATATTGTGTTCCATGCTTTTTTCTAGGAGATGGTAGTGGGGATGGAGGAGTCTGACAAGGATCGGTCTCAGCACAGTGTGGAGACTTCAGACTACACTCAGAAACGTAAGGCAGTTTTACTGTATTGTAAACCTACACTATGTCATTGAGGTTTAGGAAGGGAGCATGTTTTGGGAACCGAGCATCTATGATAAGCTCTTTTTCACAATATAAAAACACAAGCAAATATTCCTCTGCCCTCTTTGTTAGCAGCAGTGAAAAACTAAGAGCTGTACCTGCACCACTTCCATCAGAATCTCATCCCTTTATAAGGGATTAAAACATACTCATGAGATGTAATTCACTCTGCTATTTAATTTCTCTCTTTTCACATATGCAAAGGCCAAGGCTTAGAACTGTTCAAGTTTCGGGTTTTCCTAATTGATCCTTGGTTTTAAAAAAAAGTCAGGAAGTGCAGCACATGTTTACACTTTTAATTAGTAACTGACTTTGGAGTCAACCTGGCAAACACAACATTCAGATAATGTGCAACTACATACATGTATTGACCTTTATTTATCGTCTCCAACAGCAAGGAAATTCCTAGGTAGGGCTAAAAATCCAGGAGGGACGTGTTTCTAATCTAAGTTCTTAAACGGCTTTGCCTCCAGTATTAAAGGTTCTGAGAAGAGTATATTATCTTTATGTAACACATCTCCTATGTGCTACAATATCTAAGTCCAGTGCCATCTGGTAACGGCAGAGCGTTGGCCTAGATTTTTAACCCAAACATTTCATCTGTCATGGGTTTGCCAGACCTGTCCCAATGCTCAAATAGTGTTGTGTGGTGTTAGGTTTTTTAGAGGATAGAGTTTATGGAGTAATATCACATCGTTACAGACTCGGGTAGTTGCCATAGATTGTGAAAATAAGTAGTTTTAGAGATTAACACATGCTATCATACCAAAATCAATTATGCGTCTTCTATTTAAGAAGTTGTCCATCTAGACATTCATTCATTTCAAGGTCATTTTAGACATTTTGCGTGTCACTGACCTGGTAGATTGTAGCTATAATACCATGACTTTACATCCATGTTCAACAGGGTAGACTGGCTTAATGCTGTGTGCTGACAAACCTTGCCCAGCTCAAATACCCATGGATGTTATTTGTTTATGGTGGCTCCACAAGTCTTGCACTTTAATATGCATTCCTAGGTTAGTTTGCCCATGTGTCCTCTTTGCTTTCCAAACTTCCTCAACTAAGAGATTCTTTTGTCCATAGCAGATTCAAGGGGACTCCAGGATTTTTCTTGCATGCTCAGAAGCCCTGGAAAAGAGGAGATATTCTGTACTGACATTGCCTACTCGGAGCAAGCAGCCATTTTGCTCAAGGGATCATTTCTACGGGAGTCTAGGAGGATAAAGGACGAGAGCGCCTTAACTGTAAGTGCTTTAAGGCACTTCTACCCTCGGAACCTGTTGAGTCTCACTCTTATAGAGAGAAGCCTTGGGAACTTAGTTCATTTTGTGTTTTCAGGGTATTAAAAAGGTTAGACTTCTGGGTAAGCATAGCAGAACTGTGTACATGTGAATGTGGGTGCTTGTAATGCAATGATAAATAAAAGGAACTGTGTTGTGGTGGAAGTCAGGAACATTTGGAATCTCTGCACCAAATGTTAGCTGACGTAACAACTACAGTTCTGCATTGTTGGTGTCTGGGCCACTTGCATTTCCTCTTTTCACTGTACATTAGAGGAAGGATAATAACCAGACCCAAGGTATTGTGTTGGGGAATTTTGACTTGCATAGGAAAAGAGACTCTGTCAAAGCCAAATGAAGCTATCGGGCCCCTTTCTAAGTGCTACAGTGGATTGGGATGGTCTCGTGTATTGAATTTGCCTGACAAAATTGGGATCCCAATTAAGACAACAATCAAGAAAAGCAATGCTGAAGGAAGTGAGCTCTTCCAGAGCATAACAAATCCCATTATTTATTTAAAACACACACTTAGCATTATTTAAATTATCATATATGCATCCACCTTGAAACTGTAATCTGGTTTGAGTCCCATCCAAACTAGTGGTGGTGCATTTTGACGCTGCAAGAAGCTGAACTATTGCGTTCAACCCATTCTGCTACACTAATGAGAGCTCTGGGTGCAAAGCAGGCTGCAGCATGAAACTTTACAGGTGCTAGGAAACCTGCAGTTTAGGACTCTGGGGAAACCACAGAGAAGGTGATTGCAATAGTGGAGACAAGAGGCGGTGAATGCCTAGATAAGAACTTCCCTGGAGGTGAAGCAGAAGTAGTAGTATTCCTGGGCAGTGGTTTGTGGCTGGTGAGAGGCAGATTTACAGCCATAAGAGCGGTGGAAGGAAGTGGTAGGGACACAAAGGAATTCACGACACACAATAAAATCAACAGAATTATCCCCATCATACCTTACAAACTTTCTTCCATTCTTTCTCTCTAGCAGTTTAAGATTCCCAAGGGCAGGCTGGGAGTGACCCGGATAGGAGACTTATCTCCACAGGACATGAAGAAGATCCCCACATTGGCCCTGATTGAGCTGACGGCTCTCTGCGACATCCTGGGCTTGGAGTTAAAGAGGAACAAGGCATCCAAACAGAAGACAAAAGGTCAGTTCTATCTCGGTTCTTGTGATCAAAGTTAGACAATGGGTCTCAGTAATGCTAGACTTCATTACATACTCCCTCAGTCTCACCAATGTAAATCCAGGCTAAAGACTATCGAGATATGCCAGACTTGCACAGCTGTCACTTGAGATCAGAACATGGGTCCATGTTTCTCACTGCTGCTTTTTGTGGGTCTCCCCTATACCCTTGCTCTGCTAACTACTGTTGTAGCTTCTGTTCCTCTCTTTCCTCCAACAACTTGGATAATAATAAAGTGTAGTTCTTCGTTGCAATTGAAGAAATGCTCCTTTTGGTTTATAACCATAGTAAAGAATTACAACATGTATTGTCCTCAATGCAGAGAATCGACTCTTTGGAGTTCCACTCAGCACTTTGTTGGAAAATGACCAAAAACTCATCCCCAACACCAAGGTCCCACTGATTCTCCAAGCAGTAAGTTACCTTCAGAGTTCACTTGCACGTGATAGCTCCTTGGCCTTGAACCATAAGCTGGACGGCTGCCTTCAGGTCTGTACCTGAGAGCTTTCTGTTTCCCTTGTAGTTGCTGTCATGTTTGGAAAAGAAAGGGCTTGACACTGAAGGCATCCTGAGAGTTTCTGGGTCCCAGACCAGGATTAAGGTACAGTCATTTCGGTAATACTCTAAAGTACGGGAGTACATGTCAAGTGATCATGTTGCATGAGCCTGATGTATGGTATCAGACTTATTTAAAATTATCCCCACTCCTTGCCAACACAATATGGAAAATTCACTGCTGGGGAGCCTGCTAGTAAGTCTACGTTGTGAAGCACTCTGCAGTGTCTGCATTGTTGAGGGGTTGCCCTGTGCAAGATCCCCCCCCCGTTGGATTCCCATTCTGTTTGTTAGTGAAAGTGATGGGATATTTCCTCCCGATGCAGAGCCTGGAGGAAAAGCTGGAAAGTGACTTCTATACCGGTCTGTTCCGCTGGGATGAGGTCCGCCAGAATGATGTGTCTGGCTTACTGAAGAGGTTCATTCGAGAGCTGCCCACCCCTCTGTTGACAGCCGAGTATCTGCCGGCTTTCGCTGCTGTGCAAAGTGAGTCCTTTTCCAAGTAGTCTGGCCTTAGCAGCCTTGGTTTTTTTCAAAGCTCTGTTGGTCTTGTGATCTCCTATTTGATATGTGCCACATAAGCTTTTGTGTTCTAGACAGATATGAACTAGGATCAGTCAAATAAATACAGACACCACACCCAGTGTGCTGAAAACACTAGATCCTCTCTTATTTCCAATAGTGTACGAAAGTAGTTTACATGGCACTCAAGTATCCAAATAGCATTATTTATTACTGGTGTAACAGTAGCACCTAGGGGCCACAATTCAGCTCAGGGCCCTGTTGTACTAGTCACGGTACAAACATATGGTAAAAATTATCATCTAAGATAAGACCGATAAAGGATGGGAGGGAAAATAGAGGCACAGAGAGAGGAAGTGACTTGCTCCAGGTCAGACAGTAGGTCAGTGGCAGAACCAGGAATAGAAACCAGCTCTCCTGAATCCCAGTCCTTTTGCTCTCCCCACACACACCCCGCCCCACATTGGACCACAATGCTTCCTCCCTAGCCTGCCGTAACACATGGATTGCACACCTCTGGACAAGAGCACATACACACACTTCCCCCCCCTGCCCCTTTTTCCCTTCTGGTTCTCAGCTAGAGCATGGCTTTTGTCTCAATACGTGTTGCTTCCATAAACATAGATGAATGTGGCACCAGTTCACTTTTCAATCCATCTAGTGTAGTGTATTTTTCAAGTCTTTCGGCTGCTGTAGTGGAACATAAATGCATTATTAAATTAGTTAATTTTTATTAATGCTGTTGTGCAAAACTCACCCATTCCCTACTTTTCTGTACTTGTCTCTCTGCCTCTGGAGAAAATATGGAGTAGCAGTTGGAGCACATTCTAGGAATCTGGTTTCTTGGGTGCTGCGAGTGGCTTTGCCACAGAATTGCTATTTTAATTAAAGCAAATCACAACCTCAGTGCTTCTGTTGACCCATGTCTGAAATGGTTATAATCTGTCTATTCACAGGGATGCTGTGAGCTCAATTAATTTTGTAAAACACTCTCACGTTTCTGTAGTGCCTATCCTAGAATCGAAATAATGTACTGAGGTTCATTGGAAAAATTTACCCTCAGACTTCGGAAACTAATTGCCATTTTTCAAAAGTGACTATCGGAGGGGTAGCCGTGTTAGTCTGGATCTGTAAAAAGCAACAGAGAATCCTGTGGCACCTTTAAGACTAGCAGATGTATTGGAGCATAAGCTTTCGTGGGTGATATGCATCCGACAAAGTGGGCGTTCCCCCACCAAAGCTTATGCTCCAATACATCTGTTAGTCTTAAACTCTGAAGTTTCATCGATAGTCAGTAGGATTCAGGCTTTTAAGGGCTAGTCTACATGGTGCTGCAGTTTGGATTTGGGGGTGTGAACTGTAGTGTGCTTTAACTGCCCTTTATAGACCACCTAAAGCAAACTAAATACAGGGCAGTTAGAGCGTTCTACAGTTCACACCCTCATAGTCCAGACTGCAGTACCTTGTAGACAAGCCCTAAATCACTTAGGTGCTTTGTTTTCCCCATATTAGTGGTATGTGTTTCACAATAGGGCACCAGCACGTTCAGAGCTCTGATTCCATGTGGGAGCCAGGTGGATTTAGATGTTTAACTAGACTCCGATTATTTTGCATGTATGCTGTTGCTGTTTGATGGGACACAGTACATTCTCCCTACTGTAGATATCCCGGACCTGAAGCAGAGATTGCAAGCTCTCAACCTGCTTATCCTGATTCTGCCAGAGCCCAATAGAAACACCCTAAAGGTAATAACCACCTTCTACTGTGTCAGTTAGTTGTGTGAGAAAATGTGAATCCTTCCAGAGAACCTATGTCTTAATACCTCATGTAGAGAGAGAGGTATAAGCAATCTGGACTTATTCTTTTGATCTTGCATCAACTCCATTAACTTGTCTAGGTGTGGATGCCTGGGGCCAAAAAAACTCCTGTGTCAGTTCAGTGGGATTGCCAAGTTTATGCATGCAAATGCAGGAGCAGCAGGAGTCATGTCTTGTCAGGGTACATCTTATGCCCATGTTTGAAAATCTGGCTCTTCCTATTAGAATATCCATTGACCAACGTCTCCTTAGCTCTTGGATACCAAGATGCAGCTGATCTTTGTGATTCTTATATAATATCTGTTTAAAATGCGGAAAAAAGTGCTGCAGAAGTTTTAACTTTCTACCCCCTACAGATCAGACTGCATTAAAATCCCTTTCTCACCTATGCAGCTAATTTTGAACAAGAGAATGTTGTTTCAGGGGCAGTTTTGTGGCAGTGCAGGACATTTGGCTTTTACTTCTGTTCTCTAGCAGTTTGGGTACCCAGGTGGTAGGAGTACTGCAGAAGCCATGTCCTTAATTCCCACAAGTATCTCCCAAGTTGCTCGATAGTGCCGCCTCCAGACGATCAAAGTGCTATATCTGCATAGTCCTGCAGAACTATTGTAACTTTAAAACTCCGGCTTAATTGTTCTAGTGTTCTGAGGCAGCTTGGATGGCTTATGGTTTTGGGTAGAAACAGGAGACGCTTGTCTGTTTCGTCTGAGTGAAGCTTTGAATTTTGAGGGGTCTTTGGAATCTGACTTTCAGTGTGAATTCCAAAGGATGCAACCTGCCACGGGTCAGGGAAGAAGACCTTATCTGCCTTGTTCAAATCTTGTTGTCTTTCCTGACTTATGAATTTGACGCCCCAAAAGCCGCCACCACAGCTTGGTACAACTAATTGATGACCTTCTTAGTGCAAGGACCTGACCACCAAGCCCACTTACACTTGTGATTTGCATTAAGGTCTCCAGAAATGAAAAGCTATTGACATTAACCAACTAAGCAACCCAGCACTTGCCCAATCAGGTTTGCTGAATCGTACTGTGCACAGATGTCTTGAAACCACATGTCTTTCTCCCTCTTTCAGGCTCTGCTGGAATTTCTCAGTAAAGTGGTTGCTAGGGAGAAAAAGAACAAAATGAATCTCTGGAATGTTTCCACAGTCATCGCTCCAAATCTCTTCATGCATAAAGGACTGGCGAATAAGATCCCAGAAGGGAAGGAGAAGCAGCTGGCAGAGGGGGCAGCTGACGTTGTGCGGATGATGATCCATTACCAAGACTTGCTTTGGACTGTAAGTCACGTGGCTGTTGGGTGATAGCAACCTGTGCATTAACCAGACTGGGCTATAACTCAGAAGAATGAGATAATCCTGGAGATCTTAAACGAAACAGAACTCTGTAGACAAAAGTTGTTTGGCTAAACTCTCTTGTTGTCTTTGCTGTTCTGAAGGCACATAAGCAAAATATTATGTCTATGGAATGTTGTTTTTTAGGGGCTTTTTCCTATTTACAATAGAAATCTTTGAAAGACTCACTGATTTCTCTGCAGGTGACCTGGCCTGTGGATGTGATATGCATAAAGCCACAAATCCTCCCTTTTAAAAAGAAACAAAGCCACCAAAAGTCCCCTAAAGGGCAATGGACATTGCAGGAGTAACTTTCTGCAGATGCCCCAGGAGGCATTCTTCTTCCTCAGGGTTGAAAGTGGGTGGGGATGTGCCCCCCCCCCCCATTCACCATGTTCTCCTTAACCCCATCAACCTTTCAATGTAGGGAAAATTTACGCGTGCGCCAGTGTAACTGTCAACGTTTGTTGGAGCCTAGTGCTTTCCGAGTATCTTTATAGAATGCCTGTCTAGTCCTTGAATGTATCCATCCACGCACCCCTCTCCATTGGTTCTATTTATTGGTTTGTTTTTATTTCCATTAGATCTCCTCTTTCCTGGTAGCTCAAGTGAGAAAACTGAATGAGAGCAGCAGCCGGAGGTACCAGTTCTACGACAGACGGATCAAAAACTTGCTACGGAAGATTCACGCAGACAAGGACAAAGTGGAGAAGAACCAGGCAGAAGTAAGTAAGCTGAACCCTCTGAGGATGGGGTTGAATGAGGATTTCCCGTTAAAGGTCCCCTCATAAATGATGAGTGTATGCCAGGGAATTAAATTCTCTTTAAACCAAAATTAAAGAGAAACAGAAAAAAACATTACAACAAACTCCTTGAAAATTCGTCTCACTGGCTTGCTGCAAAACACCCCCATTTCCTTTACTAAACTGTGCAAATGCTGTGGCCTAGATGCCATGTGCTCTCAGGCTTGTGTGTGAAGAGGGAAATTTGAAATGTTGTCGGTTGAATCTTGTTGTCTTAGCTGCACCAAGTGTAAACTTGACACAACTGAGGATTTGGCCCTGTATGCTCACAATGGACATACTGGCTTATCTTACTGATACACACTGGCTTTTATTACAAGTGCCAGCTAGAAATCGTAGAAACCTAGAGATGAGGGCAGCAGCCTTCAGGTACCTGTCTGTCTCTCCTGCTCTGCTTTTGTGCTTCAAAACACTTGTTCTGATCAGTAGGGTTGCATGACACCAGCGTTAATGAGTAAAGGTGCATGCAGTGATGCTGGATATTAGCAAGCAATAGTTCCATGACTAGGGCTCATAGGCAGTGAGATAATACAAATAATAATAGTGATTCACTGCACTTGTTTCCGTACCACTTTCTTTCCCATGGGTGCTGACAGACCCTATCCAAATTCTGTTTAAAACAGTTACTAAATGGGAGCCTCTCTTTTTTTCCTTTTAAAAAAAAATGCCAAAGTTAGGAAGTGATGTACAGACTGTGGTGTACTTACAAATTTTGGCTTTTACTATTAAACAATTAGAAACCACAAATCAATTAAACAAAAGGGACAGGTCACTCTCAAATCCCCCATTATGCAATGCATGTTATCACTGTTGAAAAGCTGCTGCTTAATAGAGTTGGCAATTATCCATCCAGTAGGGAACAAACAGGTATAATTTAAGAGGAAGAACTGTGTGCGTTGGGACAGCCATTATAAAACTTTCAAAGGACTGTGCAGAGAACGGAAGTTCAGTTTTATGAAGGATTTTGAGACTGAAATTTTGGCTTTGTTCTGATTGGAACCAAAATAGAAATTTTTTAAAAATCAAAACGTTTTGTTTGGAAAATGCTGCAGTGGGGCATTTCAGTGCTTTCAGAACCCCCTCCTTTTCAGTTTTTCTTCTAAAATGAAATTCAGGCAAAATCAACCCAATTTCACTAAGCTTTTCCATTTCATTGGAACGGACTGTTCTAGCTACGTCAAAGTTTCTATACCAGCTTGAATGCCCAGACCACTCATGACCACCAGAGGGCACCCACACTTAATTCTATTCCAAATTATATCCAAGACCAACAATTCCATCCTTGGCTACAATATTAAAACAAAAGTCGATCTCTTTAATCTTCACCGCTTTTAGACAGTTCTGTATTTTCACATCTCAACCTGGTATAAATCCCATCAATGGGCCATTGGATTTGTACTTGTACATGATTTCCCACCTCCATTTAGAAAACTGGCATCTCTCTTGTTCTAAATTGCCAATGTCTTTCTTTTAAAACCATTCCCCACCCCTCTATTTTTAGCCTTCCAAGACAGTGAAAGTCCAGACATCTCTGTTACTGAAGGATTCACTGGAGGTTCATCTGAACAATGGAACCAAAGCTGCTGATGTCCTGAGGCAGTTTCAGAAACACCTCAGTCAGAACGGCTGGAGTATTGTCAACAAAGTCAGCCTCATCAAACGGTAAAAGCCTCTTTCTTCATTATAAGCAGACAGAGTAGTCCAGTTTCCATATGTTTTCTCTTGCAGGGGTGGGAGGCTGGCAAGGGAAGAAAGGTTATATAGTGACTACATTCAGTGACTCATTCTGGTTTGCTGTTTAAATCTTTTGAAGTGTGTTTGGGAGGGGGAAGAGGAAACCCTAATCTCCCTTTAAATTGTGACTGCGTCATCGTATGGGCTTTTGGGGATGTGGAGCAGTTACTGGTCTGCTGCCCCCTGGGTGCTAGAGAGCAGGTGAACTGTAACAATATGTGCAAGATCCTCTTGGGGAGGAGGAGTGGATGCCCTTCGTGGGGGGGGGGAGGGGGA